AATAAATTTATTTTAAAAAATAATAATAATTAAATAATGAAATTAAATAAAACATCTATTAAAATTTAAATAATGAAATTAAACAAAATATAAACAATTTTTGAAATAAAACATCAATAAAATATCTATAAAAAAATTATTTTAAAAATTAAATGAATAAAACATCGATAAAAATTAAATAAAATTATTTTATTTTTAAATCGAGACATTTAAATTTTATTAAATTTTACTAAATATAATACATAATTAAATAGTAGAGGGCCAAAATGGTCATTTCATCTCCTAATTTCACATCCCCCTTATCCCCCATTTGTGTCCCATCCCCCCCCCATAGGACAAAATAGTCCAACACATTTGGGACTAATAATCCAAAGCAAAATTAAAAAACCAAACAACAGATATAAATCCTATCCTACCCTCTAATCTTATCCCACCCTCTAATCCCTTCAAACTAAGGGTGAACAACGGATATTCTAATCCGCCCAAATCAACCGAACCGATTTGATCCGCCGCATTTTGGACAAATGCGTGATGACAAGCGAACGGTTGTAGATTGATTTTTTTCAATCCCCCAAGTTTTTAACGAATGGCGGATTTGAGATTTCTTTGGCCACAACCGAACCGCCAAACCGCGAGCAACCCTAATAACTTGTAAGACTTTGTGTTTTCAATTTGTTTAAATATTCTGTTTGTATTTTCAATTGAAAAAGAGTTTAGATATTCTGTTGTATTTTCAATTTGGAAATTCTTTTGGTATTTTTCTGTAGAAAATATAAGGCTTAATTTGGTCATTTAAAAAAAAAAAACCCAAATTAAATATTTTTTGAATAAAAAAAGTAATGAAATAGTTTTGATAATGCATGATTTTGTATTTGACAATTTACTTGATAATCTTTTGGTTAGGGGTGCGCGTGGGTCGGTTACGGCCACGAAACCTCCAATCCGTCATCCGTCTGCCAAATTGGCAGATTGGAGAAAATCAATCCATATCCATCCGCTAATCCGGCGGACGTGGGTTGAGTAGATTGGCAGATGGATGCAAATCAATTTGGCGGTTTAGAATTTTATAAATTTTCAACATAATTCAACTTGTGCACTTTCTCAAAAAAAAAAAAAAAGTATTACAGTCAATGACTTAAATAAGAATTACAATCACTGAATGTCTCATCCAAAGAAAAAAAGTTCGAAATTTTATAATATTACAATCACGGCATGCCTCATCCACATATTACAATCACAATATGCCTCATCCACATAAAGTATTACAATCTGTGGTTCTTAAAATATAAAAACAATTCAAACCACTATAATCATGAACAGAGCAGTAGTAGAGATTGTATGTCTCTGTATTGTTACATCTATATCTGTTTTTTAAAACAAAAACCAACTAGCAAATATAATCTTTTTTATTTATTATTTTTAGAGTTCGATTTAAAAACCAAAAAATATATTCAAGTTAAAAAAAAAAATCAACAAAATATTTAAACTCTTTTTCAATTGAAAACACAAACAGAATATCTAAACAAATTGAAAATAAAAAGTCTAACAAATTACTAGGGACGCTTGCGTTTTGGCGGTTCGATTGCAACCAAAAAATCTCAAATCCGTCATCCGTCAAAAACTAGGCGGATTGGAAAAAATCAATCCGCAACCGTCCAAAATGCGGCTGATCAGTTTGGTTTGGTTGGTTTGGGCGGATCCGAATATTCGCTGCTCACCCCTACCTTTGGTTTTGTTGAGTTAGATTGCTATTCAAAAAAAATATATATTGACAAGTTGTATTATGTTTACGTCAAAATCGATTTACATCCATCCACCAATCCGTCAATCCGCATTCGTCAATTCGACGAACGGATGTAAATTGATTTTTTTTCAATCCGCAAATCTGGTGGATGAATGGCGAATTAGAGATTCTCCGACTGCAACCGAACCACAAACACCCCTACTCGAAACAAACAACACCTAAGTGGATGAAATTTGCCAATGTCATTCGAATTTAAATTAGAATACCAATTTTACCTTTGAATTTTTTTCCCCCCAGTTTTAAAACCCTCCCATCAAAAAAAAAAAAAAAATGTAAATTACAAATACATCTCCTGAAATTTACTTAAAGTACAGATTACCCTATGTGGTTTGAAAAATTACAAATACCTCCTTGTTGGTATTTTTTATTTAACAGAATTAACTAAAAAATGAAATTAATAATTGCTCTCCTATACAATAAGAAAATTACTTAAATTATTAATTGAAACGTATTTCTAACATCATCAAAAACTGTTAATTGACTTGATAATTTATTAATAAAATGACATTTTCTAATGAAATTAGAAACTTCAGGGGTGAAATGCAATTCTCAAAATTACAGAAAATAATTTGTATTTTAATCAAATCTCATAGGGTGTATTTGTAATTTAACCCAATTTTTTTTAAAAAAAAGGTTACAATCTTCCGCTCATCCTTCCCTTGTTTCGCATTCACCATTCCTACACCTCCCTTCTCCACCCTTCGCCACCGCTGCCTCCGCGACCCACAACCATTGCCATAAGAGCATCTCCAACGGTTCATCTAATGTTTCATCAAATTTGAGTAAAAAAATAACCATTTCCTCAATTTGATACTTCATGCTCCAACGGTGATTGATTTTTTTTTTTTTTTTTTTTGCGAATTGTCTGAACTTTTTTTGAACTTTCTGAACTTTTTTCGGGACAACCGGGGTGGTCGACCGGCCGGTCAACCGGCCGGTTGACCGGTTAGGCAAAATTTTTTTTTTTTTTTTTTTTTTGCGAATTGTCTGAACTTTTTTTGAACTTTCTGAACTTTTTTCGGGACAACCGGGGTGGTCGACCGGCCGGTCAACCGGCCGGTTGACCGGTTAGGCAAAATTTTTTTTTTTTTTTTTTTTTTTAACGGTTTGAACTATTTTTTCTGAACTGTTTGAATCTTTTACTGGTTGACCGGTTGGTCAACCGGCCGGGCAACCGGTTGGTCGACCGGTGTAGCATTTTCAACGGTCAGTAACAGTGATTTGGTAAAATCTGTGTCTTGATCTCAGTTTGATGTCTTGTTTGCTGAATTCTCATTTTGGTATGACTTTGGTGCAACCGTTGGAGCGTGAAAAAGTGGGTTTTTCATCAAAATTTAAATCTGATGCTGGGTTTGGTTCACTGTTGGAGATGGTCTAACTCAATCAAACAACAAAACAATCAGAACCACCCAACCATTAGGTTCTATCAATTCAATAAATCAACAAAAACAAATTCAAAACCCTAATAACAAAATCAAAATCGCAACCCTAAGAACAAATTCAAAAACAATATATATATATATATATAGAGAGAGAGAGAGAGGATCTGTTCATCACCACTCGCGATGGTCTATCTACAATCACGAGGTGGTACGATCGTTATGCTCCAATCGTGGTGGTTCGATTGTGATGGTGGTGGGGTACTACCAAATGAGAAATGGCGTGTTGGTAGGGATGGCTTGTAGCGGCGCCGTGTGGCGGTGGCGTGGAGAGTGAAATTGAGGAGAGAGAAGATAAAAAGGGGTTCAATCAAAAATTGACCCGGTTTCTCTCGGGTTGACCTGTGTTGAAGCATCACCCATCTTTCACTGAGCCTTTGTTTGGCGATAACTTTTTTTAGTTGGCTTTTTAAGTTTTTTTATTTTTTTAACTTGAGATTTTTTTATTCATTTGATATTTTTGATTGATTTTTTTGACTTTTTAGCTTTAGAATTGTAGATTTTTTTTTTTGTCCTTTTGTGATTTTTGATTTTTTGTGATTTTTTTATTTTTTTTTATCCTTTTGTGATTTTTTAACCCAACTCAAAAACCAAACAACCCCTCAATCTTCATCAAATAATTTGATAAATTTTTTAATGAAAATGTTATCTAATCCTTTTAATATTAAACTTGTATCAAATTAAAAGAGAAATAATTTTTTCATCAAATCAATGATAAATCAAATCTTTCAGTAGATTTTTAACAAGTATTTTTTTCACTTAAATTTGATAAAATTATTTAAAGATAAAATATTGGAGCTGAGTTTTTTTCATCAAAATTGATGAAAAATGAAATTTGGGATGACAAGTAATTTTTTATAAGATTTTGATAAAAATTTGATGAAAGAGTTGAAGTAGTTGATATCAAATCCAACATTTTATTTAAATTTATAATCAAATTAAATAAAAAGTTTAGTGAATGATTGGAGATGGTCTTAAGGTTATTTTTGTCATTTTATCTATTCTATTTGTGGTGTTAAGTTTTGAGACCCATCTAAAGGGACTCGTGCAATTTAGACAATTTTTAAGGATGGTCTGTGTAATTTGCCAATTAACATGAGAATGGTCCATGCAAGAAATTTAAATTTTTTATATAATTCATATAAATATAGTAACATAATTTTCAATTTCTTACCAAATTTTAAAAAATTGAAAATTTTATTTCTCTACAGTAAATTTATCCTTCATACAAGGTATTATCAATTAATATGTTATCACCTATCCACTATGTATAAATCTTAACCCCACTATGATGACATGAAATTGAATAATGCTATATATACCAATTAATGTACTAATTAGTGTATCAATTGATGATATGACATAATTTAAGAGGTTTTTGATATTTGTAATATGATTAATGAGTAATGTCATAACTAGTGTTGGCACACTAATTAGTACACTAATTGGTGCATGTAGCATCACCGCATGAAATTTACAACAATGACATGGGTGAGTGGTTACAATTAATAAGTAAGGCTCACTAAATCATATGCTACATTATAATTAATTAGTGATACCATACGTGCATAATGGCTTGGTATCACCGTTTTATACTCATGTTTTACTCAACGGTTCATACAGTTAGTCGCTTACATATAGCCACGAAAAAGAACTCTCGTTGCTAAAAGCCCATGACATATTCACGACTTGCTTAAATTTCCTCAAACATATCCGACGCTTCTTTTATTAGCAAAACCGTGGAAAATTGAGAGCTTCTATCGAGCATCTGGCATGGTAATTGTCACCTCATTGTTGGAATAGCTACTAGATGTTTGAGAAGGATAGCTAACAGTGTTTGAACTCCTACAAGTTGAAAAAGCCGGTTCTTTGGGTGATGGAATTGACACGTTTTCATTGCTTCTCATGAGAATAGCAATATACCTTGTTGGTTGATCTCTGGGAAATTCTTGAACACACAAAAGCCCCACAGCAATACACTTCAATGCCTCCTGAATGTCACATGTTTCTCTTATTGACGGATCAATGAACTTCAAACAGCTACCTTCTTTCCAATTCTCCCAAGCCTGTTTAAGAGCCAAAGCCATCAAAAAAATAAAAAAATAAAATCAAAACTAATTAGTCATCATAAGAGGAAAACAAAAGACGCATAGCCTACTTACTTACCCATCCTAAAAAGGTTAGAGAGAGTTCAATGAGATGAAAACTAGTGTTTCTCTTGCAACTCATGATCTCTAACATTAACACTACAAAGCTAAATACATATGATTTTTTAGAAAGTTCCCGTATAATGCATATTCTGGTGACATGTAGCCGTTGCATCACCAATAACAATGTTATCAATCAAATTAAAGAAATAGTAGCAGCAACCCTATATTGATTTCTGCAGTACACATAAATTTATCTCATTCAAAATTGTTAGCAATGGGTTTTGGAAATTCTGGAAAACAGAATTTTTCCTCAACTTTGGTATAATTTTTAGGTGGGACCCATGTGTCATTTTTCGCGGGTCAAAGTGATAACGCGTTCTATACCACGTTGTGATTCACGTGGTATACTTGGTTGCTTAAAACCATTATCAGGTGAATGGGAAATTAAAGCCAAAGTGAGCTCCATGGAAATGGAATTTTGGTGGAAAATCCTTAAAGGTTTGGAAAATGGCTTGTCCCACATTGGTTTGGTGGGAAAATTTTGATAGGTTTATAAGGCATGGAGTTGGAACTTGGGATAGGCCCCAAAAGGCACCCAAGTTTTGTAGAGAGGGGGGCTATGGGCAAAATGGGCTAGACCCATTGGACCCAAAAATCACCATGCGCGTCGTCGTCGTCTGGTCAGTCGGGTGGGTTGGATTGGGCTTGGGCGCGGGTGCGTGGTGTGAGGTTGGGTTGGGCTTGTCCGGCCCAATACCTATCTTTTTGGGCCAAAAACATTTGAATTTAATTTTATTTTTTGGTAAAATAAAATCCAGAATTCAAATTAATTCCGGAAATAAACTGGTCCGGTTTTACTGTACACCCAAACATGTCCCTTCCCGTTTTTTATCTGTTTGAATTTTGAACCCAATAGATTTAAATCTGTTCATTCAAAACCGTACAGGTATCATACCTGTTCAAACAGGTTTTGTACCTGTTTATTTCAAACCTTACAACCACGAAATTTCCTATATAAAGGCAGTCCCTCATTTGGATTTTTTCACTCCAATTTTGTCCTCAAATCTGCTACTGCTCTCTGCATTTTGATGTATCTAAATTTCTGTGAGAAAGAGTATAAACACTTAGTGTGTTCGTCGTACGAAAAATTTGTAGTGCTGTTATTTTTCGTTGATTAATCATTTTATCCTAGGAGATAGACATCCATATTCTGAAAACATCGTAGAGAGGACGAATATGTCTTAAAGACACAGTGTCAAACACTGGACTTGATCAGAATATTATTCAAAAAATTAATCAAGTAAGTTGTTAATTTTTCTGTTTTATTTATTTAAATCAGATTTTGATTTTGTTTTTGTAACAAAATATGTTTTTATTTATTTATTTTTATTTCTAGTTTGATTTTTGTAATCAAACATTTTCTCTTATTTCCTATTTTCTTTTGTATTCTGTTTGTAGTTTAGTACACAAACAGAATTTATTTATTTAAACATAGTGAAGATTGTCCTACAATCTTAAGACAAAGTAATCTTTGGTGTCTTCGTTGTATTTAATTTTCTGTGTCTTCACAAAAGTAATATTCTGGTTGGAAAACAAATAGTAGTAATGTACTGTTTGACAGATAGTAGTAATATACTGTCTATTTTCTTTGACAACTAGTAGTAATATACTGGTGTCATTAACAATTACAGAATATTAATTTGTATTGCAGAAAATTATTGTGGGATTTTATTTTTCTAGTTTTAGTAACAAGAAAAACAAAATTATTTTGTGTTATAATTTATTTTCTAATTTTAGTAACTAGAAAATTAATTTGTGTTTTGATTTTTTCTAATTTTTGTAAATCAAATATTATGACTACTGCAGCTGGAAGTGGTACTCCAATTGTTACACCAACTTCGGTCCCTATCCAGAACCATGTTCAAGTTCCAATAAATCATGGAGAAAAATTGGAAAAAATTAACGGTACTGAGTTTAAGAGATGGCAACAGAAAATGTTATTTTATCTTACAACTCTATACTTGGCCCGGTTTCTCCCTGAAGAGGCTTCAGTACTGAGAGAAGATGAAAGTGATCGGCAAGTTGTTGCAGCTGTAGATGCTTGGAAACATTCAGATTTCCTGTGCAGAAACTACATCCTCAATGGTCTTGACAACATGCTGTATAATGTTTACAGCCCTCTAAAGTCAGCAAAAGAATTGTGGGATTCTTTGGAGAAGAAATACAAGACAGAGGATGCCGGCACAAAGAAATTTGTTGTCGGTAAATTTCTAAACTTCGTTATGGTAGGCTCCCAAACGGTAATTTCTCAAGTTCAAAATGTTTAAATAATTTTGCATGATATTCATTCAAAAGGTATGTCTCTTAGCGAGTCTTTCCAAGTCGCTACTTTAGTGGAAAAATTACCACCGGCTTGGAAAGATTTCAAAAATTATTTAAAACATAAACGTAAGGAGATGACCATGGATGAATAGATTGTAAGATTGAAAATTAAGGAAGATAACCGAAAGGCTAAAAAGAGGAATGAGATAAATCCCATTGAGTCCAAGGCTAATATAGTTAAACAAGTTCACAAACCACATAACAAAAAGAGGAAGTTTACTAGAGATGGTCCTAAACAAGGCGACAACAATGGCAATAAGAAGTTCAAAGGAAAATGCTATAACTGTGGCAAGACTGGACATCGAGCTTCTGACTGTCGCCGCCTTAAAAAGGATCGCGGAAGTACAAGCAAGAAGACCACCAATCAAGCCAATGTGACAGAATTAGATTACATCTCTAACAGGGTAAATGACATCAATCTCTCTGTTGTGGTGTCTACGGTTAATTTGGTTGGAAATCCCAAGAAGTGGTGGGTTGACACTGGAGTAACTCGTCACATATGTGTGGACAAGAAGATGTTCACTACCTATAATCAGGCTACAAATGATAAACAACTTTTCATGGAAAATTCTTCTACTTCTACTGTGGCTGGACAAGGAAGGGTGATCTTGAAGATGACATCAGGGAAGGAACTAACCCTCAATAACGTACTGCATGTACCAAACATCCGGAAGAATTTAGTTTCTGGTTTTTTGTTAAGTAAAAATGGCTTTAGGCTTGTCTTTGAGTCTGATAAATTTGTATTAACAAAGAGTGGTATGTATATTGATAAGGGATACATGAGTGATGGTCTCTTCAAATTGAATGTAATGATGGTTGTACCAAAAGTTGCTATTAATAAGAATAACGCATTTTTTGCTTATATTCTTGAGTCAAATTTATGGCATGGTAGATTGGGACATGTAAAGTTTTGATGTTTTGCGCAGATTAATTGGTTTGGATTATATACCAAAGTTTGAAATTGATCATAATCACAAATGTGAGATTTGTGTAAAAGCGAAACTAACTAAGGCTCCATTTAAATCGGTTGAAAGAAAAATCGAACCTCTAGAATTAATTCATACAGATGTATGTGATCTTAAATTTGTTCAAACTAGAGAAAGCAAAAAGTATTTCATAACATTTATCGATGATTGTATAAGATATTGTTATGTTTATTTACTTCGAAGTAAAGATGAAGTCCTAGAAATGTTTAAACTCTACAAAACTGAAGTTGAAAATCAACTTGTAAAAACCATTAAAATGGTTAAAAGTGATAGGGGTGGTGAATATGATGCACCATTAAATGAATTTTGTACACAACATGGCATTATTCACCAAACTACAGAACCCTATTCTCCACAGCAAAATAGAAATGCTGAAAGGAAGAATAGAACCCTTAAAGAAATGATGAACGCCATGTTACTAAGTTCAGGCTTACCGCAGAACTTATGGGGGGAAGCAATATTGTCTGCTAATTATGTTTTTAATAGAATACCCCACAAGAAAACCAACAGCACTCCTTATGAATTATGGAAATGTCGACAACCTTCCTACAAATACTTAAAAGTGTGGAGGTGTTTGGCAAAAGTTAAAGTTCATGTTCCTAAAAAAACTAAGATATGACCAAAAATAGTGGATTGTGTGTTTATTGGTTATGCTCAGAATAGTAGTGCATATCGGTTTCTGACTTATAAATCAGAAATACATGATATAAATGTGAACACTATTATAGAGTCAAAGAATGCTATGTTTTTTGAACATGTTTTTCTTTACAAAAAAGGACAAGAATTAAGTTCACAGAAAAGAACTTATGATTGTACACAAAGTCAAGAGACTAATGACAATCAAACACAAGAGACTAGTAATAGTCTCGACCAACAGGATTTAACTGATGATAAACCAGGATAAAGTAAGAGAGCAAGAACATCAAAATCATTTGGTCCTGATTTTCTGACATACCTGTTAGAAAATGAACCTCAAAGCTTTAAGGAAGCAATGACAAGTCCTGAAGCACCTTTGTGGAAAGAGGCTGTTAATAATGAAATTGAATCCGTTATGCAAAATCATACTTGGGAATTGGTGGATCTTCCACCTGGTTCTAAACCTCTTGGATATAAGTGGATATTCAAGAGAAAAATGAAAACAGATAGTTCAATAGATAAGTATAAAGCAAGACTTGTAGTAAAAGGTTATAGACAAAAAGAAGGTTTGGACTATTTTGACACATATTCCCCTGCGACAAGAATAACATCCATTCGCATACTTATTGTTATAGCAACGTTGTTTAATTTAGAAATACATCAAATGGATGTTAAAATAACTTTCTTAAACGGTGATCTAAATGAAGAGATCTATATGGAGCAACCCGAAGGGTTTGTAGTGCTAGGGCAAGAAAAGAAAGTTTGCCGGCTTGTAAAATCTCTTTATGGATTAAAACAAGCACCTAAGTAATGTCATTAAAAATTTGATCATACAATGCTTACTAATGGGTTTAAGATAAACGAATGTGACAAGTGCGTCTATATTAAAAACATTGACCAAGGATATGTCATAGTTTGTCTTTATGTGGATGACATGCTTATCATTGGAAGCAGTCAAAATATGATCAAATTAACTAAGCAAATGCTTAATAGAAGATTTGATATAAAAGATATGGGGGTCGCAGATGTTATATTAGGAATGAAAATTACTAAAACATCTAACGGATATACATTATCTCAATCACATTACATTGAGAAAATACTTGGTAAATTTATCAAAGATGATATGAATGTAGCTAGAACACCTGTAGACATCAGTCTTTATTTATCGAAAAATAAAGATGATGCGATGTCTCAGTTAAAATACTCCCAAATCATTGGAAGTCTAATGTACCTAATGAATTGTACTCATCCTGATATAGCTTATGCAGTCAGTAAATTGAGTAGGTACACTAGTAACCCCAGAGAAGACTATTGGAAAGCGATCATTCGGGTTCTTAGATATCTAAGGTTTACCCGTGTTCATGGTTTGAACTTTACACGATATACAACAGTACTCGATGGTTATTGTGATGCCAATTGGATATCGGATACTAAAGATTCAAAATCCACTAGTGGATATGTCTTTACTCTAGGAGGCGCTGCTGTTTCATGGAAATCCACAAAATAAACATGCATTGCACGATCCACAATGGAATCTGAGTTCATAGCTTTAGACAAAGCAAGAGAAGAAGCAGAATTGCTTCGTCACTTCTTAGAAGACATTCCAATGTGGCCAAAACCTATGCCAGCTATTTGCATTCATTGTGATAGTCAATCTGCAATAGGCAGGGCACAGAATCATATGTATAACGGTAAGTCACGACATATTCGTCGTCGACATAATACCGTAAGGCAACTGCTCTCAAATGGAATAATCTCAATAGATTATATAAAATCTAAAGAGAATATTGCGGATCCGTTAACAAAAGGTTTGACAAAAGAGCAAGTGTATAGTTCATCGAAGGGAATGGGATTAAAGCCTATTACATAAGAGTCATCATAATGGTAACCCTACTTATATGACAGGAGATCCCAAGAACTAAGTTCAAAGGGACAACTAAGTTATGTGTGGCTCACCAAAAATCACCAAGGGATTAAAATTCCCTACCCATTCCTATGGTGAGAGTGATATCTGCAACATGTATTGTATGCAGGGGTCAAAGAATACGCTTAGCTTTTAATGATTACTTATATCTTGATTTAGGCATAAAAATCAAGACAAGTATAAGGAGATACTTACAATAAGAATCACCTATATGAGTGTCGAACTGCGGCCAGTTCTATGAGAATGAAGAGGCTAAATTCTCTAGAAAACACTCATGAAAACCAGGAGCATTCAAGGCCAAAATGAATACAACAGTGAGAACCATGATGTGTTAGAAGATATTTTGTGTAAAATCTATTGTCTTGGCTTACACAAACGACTGAACAATTCAAGGCATCGCATCCATTGGTTAGCTAGTAAATCCGATAGGTTATCACTAGGGAAGGTTCAAGGTCGAAAGCTACCTATCCTGATGCAAGATATTTTCGATTTATACTCTTTCGACAAATTTTGCATATTGTTGCATTTCGTTGTCATCAAATTCCATTCATGTGGGGGATTGTTAGAAATGGGTTTTGAAAATTCTAGAAAACAGAATTTTTCCTCAACTTTGGTATAATTTTTAGGTGGGACCCATGTGTCATTTTTCGTGGGTCAAAGTAGTAATGCGTTCTATGCCGCGTTATGATTCACGTGGTATATTTGGTTGCTTAAAACCATTATCGGGTGAATGGGAAATTGAAGCCAAAGTGAGTTCCATGGAAATGGAGTTTTGCTGGAAAATCCTTAAAGGTTTGGAAAATGGCTTGTCCCACATTGGTTTGGTGGAAAAATTTTGATGGGTTTATAAGGCATGGAGTTGGAACTTGTGATAGGCCCCAAGAGGCACCCAAGTTTGTAGAGATGGAGGTTATGGACAAAATGGGCTAGACCCATTGGACCCAAAAATCACCACGCGCGCGCCGCCGTCGCCGTCCGGTCAGGCGGGCGATTGGGCTAGGCCTGGGCGCGGGTGCGTGGTGTGAGGTTGGGTTGGGCTTGTCCAGCCCAATACCTATCTTTTTAGGCCAAAAATATTTGAATTTAATTTTATTTTTTGGTAAAATAAAAATTTCTGTCCAGAATTCAAATTAATTCTAGAAATCTGTTTCGGTTTTTGCCCTACATCCAAACAGGTCTATCGGTTTTTATCTGTTTGAATTTTGAGCCCAATAGATTTAAATCTGTTCCTTCAAAACCGTACAGGTATCATACCTGTTCAAACAGGTTTTGCACTTGTTTATTTCACACCTTACAACCACAAAATTTCCTATATAAAGGCAGTCCCTCATTTGGATTTTTTCACTCCAATTTTTGTCCTCAAATCTGCTACTGCTCTCTACATTTTGCTGCATCTAAATTTCTGTGAGAAAGAGTATAAACACTTAGTGTGTTTGTCGTACGAAAAATTTGTAGTGCTGCTATTTTTCGTTGATTGATTATTTTACCCTAAGAGACAGACGTCTATATTCTGAAAGTACCGTAGAGAGGACAAATCTGTTTTAAAGACACAGTGTCAAACACTGGACTTGATCAGAATATTATTCAAGAAATTAATCAAATAAGTTGTTAATTTTTCTATTTTATTTATTTAAATCAGATTTTGATTTTGTTTTTGTAACAAAATAAAATCTGTTTTTATTTAGTTATTTTTATTTCTAGTTTGATTTTTGTAATCAAACATTTTCTTTGCTTTCCTATTTTCTTGTATATTCTGTTTGTAATTTAGTACACAAACAGAATTTATTTATTTAAATATAGTGAAGATATTCCTACAAAAATTCCTACAAAAAAATATCTGCTGGTACTTACTATGTGCCCACCACCCGCATGGTATTTGCTTCAGTTTGATTTATTCCAAAACTCATTGCAGTTCCAAAGTCCGAAATTTTGGGATTCATTGCTTCATCCAACAAAATATTGCTTGCCTTTAAATCCCTGTGAATGACTTTCAATCTAGAATACTTGTGCAGGTAGATAAGACCTTGAGCAATCCCTTCTATGATCCGAAATTGTTTACTCCAGTCCAGATTGGCTTGTTTAGAAGGGCCTAATGGAAAATCAACACTAAATCAATGAGGGGAAATTGAAAATCAGAGCCTCAAAACTAATAGAAATTGTGTTTATTAGAAGTTACAGAAAAAAGGTAAAGCTGTACAAAATAGCAATTTATCTAGGCTTCCATTGCACATATACTCATAGATTAGTATCTTTTCCTCTTGTTCAACACAGCAACCCAAAAGCCTAACAAGATTTTGATGTTGGAGTTTGGCAATAAGTTTCAACTCATTCATGAACTCCTCTGTTCCTTGTAATGATTTTTTAGATAGCTTTTTAATGGCTACTTCTTGTACTACAGGCAAATTGCCCTGAAAAAAGAAGAAAAAATGAGGATGAAATGTAAGAATATTGAAATAAATAATAGAAACTGAAACATACGACAACTTCATTATTTTACCACAAAACAAAATGCGTTGTGTTACCTTATAAACAGGTCCATACCCACCCTCTCCAAGTTGTTTTACTTCAGAAAAGTTGTCAGTAGCAGCTAATATGCTTCTTAAACTGAACGATAACAATTCTCCATTACTTGGCCCAGCAACAGATGCACTAGAGTTGGCATCAAGCTCGTGCGAATCTCCATCTATTGTCTCTGTACTCAAGAGTATTCAGTGATGCAAAACCATGTATAAGAAACTGCAAGTGTACTAATAAATAGCTCTGATTTGTGAGGTTGTGATACCTTGACTTCTCAGCCTTCTCATCCTCAAGACATAGCCAAAGCTACTAATAAGAAGCAATCCTGCAGAGATGGCAACTGCTGCAATCACAATTAGACTTTTGCTTCTATGCTTCTACCATCAGCAACTACGCATCAATTACAAAACACAAAATTTCCAGGAATCCCATTAGAAGTCAACTAAAATTTAGAAGAAAAAAAAGTGTTTTGAACGGAAATCGAGCAAAGATGTCATACATACCTTGGTCAGAGCCATGAAGGCGAACATAAAGGTCTTTTCCATGGTAGTCATTGCCTTTTAGGTCCATGAGATCCCCAAACCAATTCATACAATGCACAGTAGTTTCTCCACTCATATTAGCATACGCATAAGCTGTGCAGGAGCAGTTGTCACGACATTTGGATTCACATTGACTAACAGTCATATTTCCAAGAGAGATTGAATAATCGGGCAATTTTGTTCTTTCAAACTTAAAAAACCAATCTCCCAGATCACATGTCAGTGCCATTTTCCTGGCACAGCCTCCTGTCCAATTTCCAAGATTCAAAGAATTCTGATCTTTAGGTTCAAAACCCTGCAAACAACTGCAAAATGGATGCAAACCATTTTGTTCACAGCTACTAAATGGAGCACACTGGCCATAAAAATCACATTTGGACTCAACTACTGGCAACTTCCATGCAACTACCCATGAATTGTCACTTTGTTCGCATAAAAGGACCTGCGCTTGCCCACTAGGAGTTAGCATGGCTCTTATTTTATTCGAACTTCCAGGGACACTGCAACTGAGATAAATTTCATCACCTTCTTCTACGAAACTTAAAAAAAGAGGTAAAACCTTGAGATTTGTATCCTATATAAGAAAAACTAGTCATATACTGTGCTTCTCCAACATGGATGGTTTTGCTTCCAAATGAAAATTTGTGGACGCCCTTCAGGACCTATACCTACTGAAAACATTCCTGGTCGAGGATCTTAATTGTCTACCCATGAGTATAGAAGGCTTCGCTGTCCAGTTTTCCGATTCAACCTGAGTTTCATGCCAGGCATGAATCAGTTGGATTATCAAAACCCTGCCATAATAACGTGTCGTCACCAAGTCTCAGAACGAGATTTCCATTATCTGAAAGCTGTGCAACTGTGGAGTTTATGGCCAAATTGAGAATTGTTGCATTTGTTGACTAGACTACCTGTCCTCTTCCATAAAAAATCACAAGATTCCCATCATCACCGAGCCTGAAAACCGCTGTAGAATTCTGGGCAAGAGGGTTTTCACTATTAGCAACCCATATGACTGTTTGTTTGGAGATTGTTTTGTACCATATGCCAATGTATCTGTTGGTGGAATTGCCTGGACTGAAGAAGCCTAACGCAAAATTTCCACCAGCTGATGTTAAGGTTTGGTTAGAGTTGAGTGATTCGCCTGCTCTCAAAATGTCTTCACTAGCACAAACAGGAAAGAGAGAAGAGGACAGGATGATCATAATATTCAGTAGAAAATAGCAAGCCATTGATGGATCTTTTGGTTTAAGGTGATCCATCATTCATTTGGTATGTATCTCACTCTGCTAGAAGAAACTAATGGTAGACAGACAGACACTCAAGTGGTACTTGAAGAGAGAGTTGATTTTTTGGTTAGGCTTTCCTATGTTTATGTTCACGAATCACAAGGAAAGTCATCACAAACTACCGATAGGTATGAAAATGGGCTGCAAAATTCTGATGTAGAATTATTCTTGAATTAATGTGTCACTTTAAAGATGGGCCATGTCTTGTCTCTTTTTTTCTTTTTTTACAAGTTTTCTGTGTATGTACATTTTTCTGTATTATATAGTACAGTTGATTGTTGCCTTCATTCAACATTTTTTTTTTAAAAATACATTGATGCTTTTAAGTTAATTTCTTTCTAAAGACAAAAAAAATTGAGTATTGTTGTTGAACCACTGCAACATACAGTCTTGTTATACATGTTCAAAATTTTCAAAATTGGATTTTTTTATTGCAAAGGAAACTTAAGAAATCAAAATACTGAAACAAAATCGAGTATGTAAAAATGCATAACAAACTTAACACATTTCATCTAGGAGGTGATAGGCCTCTTAATGACAACCACTTGAGTGCCAGATAGGCATAATAAAGAAAAAGAGAGGCTAACATTTGATGCTAGGGTAATGAAGTACAATCCAAGCACCACTTCCAATAGATTTAAATTTTCCACATAAAAAATAAAAATAAAACAGAAACAGTGGGCTTTATAAGGATTGTCACAAACTGAGATCACAAACTTTTTGAAGAAAATCTTAATTAAAAACTAGAGAAGGCAAATCCTGCAAATAATTAGTATCAACACTAAACAAATTGCTTATATACATAAAAATTCTACGTGCACACAAACCTTCTCACATGCAGTGAGACTCATTAAAATGTGTGGGTTCTATCCTATGTGAAAGGGTTGTATTCAAATTTTGTACATGTAGAACAACTGTATCAAAAAAACCAAAAATCAAAAAAGGAAAAAAGAAAAAAGGGCAGAATAAATAAAAAGAGAGGCTCATTCTTGATACAGAAAGTGACAGCAGCAGAAACTATAAATTTAAGTGGAATTAGAACAAAGAATAGAGTACTAATAACAAGTAAACAATGTATCGACAATACTACAAATTTAGAAAAATTATCTAGAAAAACGCTTCTTTGGATCACAATCATTTTAGGTGTGACCCACATCGCATTAACTTTAAATCTACACTATACAACTTGTTTTGAGATAAAATTCGGAGTAAATTTTCATACTTCGTAGTATATTTCAACAATGTATTGCAGGCAATTGAAAAGTCAACAAAGTAAAGGCCAGAGCAATGAGGCATAATGCAAGCACCAACTCCAAAAGGGTCAAACTTTGCCACAAAATGAAGAAAATATATATATATATATACTCAAGACTAAGAGAAGAAAAATATACTTAAGACTAAGAAGAAAAAAAACTTGTACTCAAGGCTAAGAAAAGAAAGTGAACATGGTTGTCTGACGTGTTCTATAATTAGGTAGTGAGGGACCAATGTTTCCTTTCAAATGAGAATAATAATTACAAGAGTGTTGTGTTTCATGGCTTGCAGCCTTGTATTCTTCAATTCAATTCATATTCAACAATGTTCTTTCCTATAAACTAGTGCCACTTTTCCTGACTTTCTAGTTATTTCTTTTGATTCTCTGAAGTTTTCAAAACATGACTTCTTTTTAACACACATTATCTATATATATTTACATTGCAAAATCGAGCTTCACATAGAATCTACTATTGTAGTTGAATTTGACTCCACGATGATGTTTTATGTGATCAATTTCTCTGAAACTATACCTCAGAAATGGTGTTTATGCAATTTGTCTGGAAACTTTAAATTTGGATAGGCAAAATGCAAGCATGTCAGAGTCAGACTTGGCCAAAGATTTGAAAGTGTTACAATGTTGAAATAATTCTTCTGACATTTAGAAGGAATCACATGTTGAATGGAAATTCAATTCAATTAATTCTACAGTTTATTGATTTTTTGTTTTTTCCTATAAGAGGGAACATTTAAAATATGAATTATTCCCCCGTTGATGGAACAAAGTAACCATATATTGCACAATTACAAGCTATGTTTTCCAAAAAAATATTAGATTGCATAAATATGGTGATGGAAACTAATAAGAATAAGTAATGATTCATGAAAAATTCCACTACTTATCGGCCTTCTTCTACAGAAACTGTCAACGCACTATCGGAGAATGTTTCTGGTTTACTAGAAGAAGAAGAAGAAGAAGAAGGTGCATTAGAAAGCCAATTCTTCGCCAAAAAAGCTGGTGGTTTAGGATTCGGAAGCGTTGCACTTTCACTGCCAAGCATGAAAACTACATTTGGCATGCTAGGACGATCACTAGGCTCTTCTTGTACACACAAAAGCCCAACTGTTATGCACCTCATAACCTCACCTCTATTGCAAGATTCAATCAGTGTCTGATCTATCAAACCCAATGCTTTCTCTTCTCTCCAAAATCTCCAGGCCTGAGATTGCTTTCAAATCAGAGTTGAATGAAATAACATGACAACAAATCATTGGATTTGATCAAATTAGTACTCACATGACCCAAAAAGGTTAAAGGCTTGTTGGGACTTGTAAAATCCAGTGTTCCTCTTCCCACTCACAATCTCGAGTACAATGACTCCAAAACTAAAGACATCAAACTTAATTGAGAGCAATCCATCTAATGCATACTCTGGAGACATATAGCCGCTGCATTACATCAAATACCCAAACAAGTTAGTATATCAATATAGCACAGCATAAAGGACACTAGTGATGTTATTACTTACTAGGTTCCGACTACTCTGGCGATGTTTGCTTTTGTTTCTTTTCCCCCAACTATCCTCGCCAAGCCAAAGTCTGAAATTTTGGGGTTCATCTCTCCATCTAATAGAATATTGCTTGTTTCCAAATCTCTATGAATAATTCTCAACCTCGAGTCTTGATGAAGATAAAGAAGCCCTCGAGCAATTCCCAAAATGATATCGAAGCGTTTGTCCCAGTCTAATGACATGCATAGAGTTCGATCTTGCAATTTGTCCATTGGAAAGCATGATTCAGATCAGTTTCTATTAATTACCAAATGGAATATAATCTACGTACTAAAAGTTTTAAGAGGAAAAAGTTTAAAGGCTAACCAAATATGAAGGAATCTAAGCTTTTGTTTGGCATATACTCATAGAGTAAAATCTTTTCATCACCTTTGATGCAATAGCCTAAAAGTCAAACAAGATTCTGAGTTAAAGTTTTGCAATCAATACAACCTCATTTTTAAATTCCTCCAATCCCTGTACCGAATGACTTGACAACCTCTTCACAGAAATTTCTCGTCCTCCGGGAAAAATGCCCTGTTCAGATTTTCATGAAACTAATTAATTTTGTCACTAAACATAGAATTCTTGTACATGAGCTTTGGTGAGTATTAAGGAAAGGACTGTAACCTTGTAAACAGGCCCAAATCCCCATTGTCCAAGCTTATTTGCATCTGAGAAGGTATTTGTAGCAACTAGTATGCTTTCTAAATCAAAATATGGTTACATCAATGCCTTTCCTATCATCTTCTTTGAACTCACCCAAATCTATCTAGTTTTTAACCCGTCTTTCAGTATCAAACAAGCGAAGTGCTTGATTTCTCTGGACGCTTTCTCTGCTTTCTGATGTTGAACATATACATCTTAGTTATACATGCTTGTTATATTGAAGAACAGAAAACGCAGACACTATATGGTAGTAAGTACCTTGTCTTTGTTTTAGCTTCCTTCTTTTGTACCAAATATAGCCACTGATGCATATGAGCACAACTAGGATCATTGCAACCATAAAATGGACCACAAAAGAAAATGACTTCTTTTTTTTCCTAGTGCTATTGTCGTTTCCTGAAACAAAACAAAAATATGTTTCATCATTTTATGCTCGCTATTGTAGTGTTTTGTGATGATGTGAATTGATATAAACCCGTAAAAACAAGGAAGTCCAACATATCAAATATAATTTTTTTTTTTTCCCCATTGACGTTTTTGAGTTGTGATTCTCAAGTGTTTGTGTAAATCAGCGAAACACTTTCTGAAGTTGTTTAAACACTAATAGAACTTGTAAAAATTTGTGCACAAGGCCAGTTTCTCTTTGGATCAAGAAAATTTTCCTGGAAAATTACTGTCACACTCACACTCACACATGATGTTATTAGTCTATAGTTCATTATATGTATAGTAATAGCATCCTCACCTAGAACACTAGTACAAATTAATTCCAAGCCATGCCATTGATAGTTTACATTGCAAAGGCACCTTCTCTTGCCGTCTTCTGTTGTATTGCAACTTGAATTAGGCCAATCCTTGCAGTCTTCCAACAAAGTACAGGTCGGCTGTGGTGCTAGATCCCAACTGATCTCTACAGCTAAGCCAGCATTACACGAGCTACCAATCACTTTATACGGTAATGATGGACTGACACGAAAATTGTTAGCACGACAGATATTGGCATTTTCAACTGTATCTGTAAGTTGGATGATAAATGTAAGATTATCTGGATTGATGCTTGTAACTCTGTAGATGCCTCTTGGTTCCTGGAACTCAACTTGTCCTGTAGACTTGTTGCAGCGGATATTGTTGTACATTGGGTCACCGCAATTTTGTCCAGTGCATAGGGGATAGGGTAGAATGTTAGCACCACAAGGCTCGCAATCTCTTGATGTTGATTCTACAAAATCAAGAACATAAACCATTTAGACCTTACTACAAATCAGTCAAGGACCATGTCCCTAAAATCTCAAAGTCAACAATCAACTATTTAAGAAGAAAAATCATTTATAGGCCAAAAGATAGGTCGATAGTGTCTGAGTTGTAACAATTTAACTCAATTCTGATATATGGGTCTATTATTACCCCATGAAACAGGGCCATTGGTCAAGATCATCAGTGCTCTGTTAGAAAGTCCAACAATACAAGCCT